GAAGCCAATTGTCGGCGATGAAGAAAACACTGATAAGGTTCAGTCTTGTCACGATTGTGTTGGGGCTATTAGGTGAGATTGTGACAGCTTCAGAGTTACTCTGATTGAGAATACCGTACATTTAAAGGGGCATCAACGGTAGGGACACTAGTGGGCGGAGCTTATTCGAGTGATCTGACAGGTCAATATGACGTCATGATAACAGACGAATTTCACTGGTTAATGCGTGAAGGGGTGTCGTCATGTAAACGCCCAACCACGTGGGCCGTTTGACAACAAGGACGTAAGTTTTAATGGTAATAACTATCAATTTAATGATTCCAAGCCTTTTCGATAAACGCGTAGGCCTTAGGTTTCAAAACCTGCCTGCCAAGTCGTCTTCACCTCTTAATAAAATGATACTGTGGACTGTTCGCGATTTATCCAAAACAGTCCAACACACAAATTATAGTTCTTCCCTATTCTCTGGACGAGAACGAAATCTCCTAGCAACCACGCTCAATAAGCGCATCAAAGTTGATTGCTGCTTACAACTGTAAGTATGAGCAACAAAACATTTTCATGTGGCGGTTAATTGGACGGACAGTTGTTCGATATAATCAGGGAGCCTTTTGTCCTTTCGATTATGACATTGGTGACTTTATCGTGGAGAAAGTTCCAATTCAAGAGGGGCACGGGTGGCCTAGTTGTCTAAGGCGCCGCGATTCGCTGTGCAGAGTTGCGTCCCTTGGGCACTCTAGACACTTATGATTGTGGGTTCGAATCCCGGTTCGCCCCGATTATGTTTCTTGGTTTGTCAGCACCATACCCGTGCTCGTGGGTTTCACCGAAGTGGTAAACGTCTGAGACCTGCATCACTTCGTGCTTTCCTCCCACTATAAGCTGACACTCCGTGATGTAACTGGAATACTGTTAAAAGCGGCGTTAAACCAAACTCACACACTCCAATTCAAGATGACATAATTCCGATCGTCAATTCGAATCGACAAGATGGCGCCTCTCTTCCCGCCCTTGCAAGTGCAACAGAGAATTTGACAAATTCTGTGCCGATTCTTGGGATTAGTGAATCAGTGTCTCAGCGATATTTCATTGTGGAACCAGGTGAAGCCTAATGTGTATGTTCACACTTCTTTTGTCAACACACCACAGACAATCGCCGTTAGGGAATGGTGCGGCCACCTTGTTGCAGAAATTCGTCGATTCCAAAACAGTATGGCTCAAACTTCTGGACTGAGGTGAGCTAAATAAACGAAGTGTATGGAGAGCTTGTAGCTACTCGGACTTGAAGAAACGGATATTAAACGTTGCAGCAGATGAGAATTGTTGTGGACAAAACGTGAACGGGATCCCAGATTGTATTTTAAAACTTGTACGTGATGTGTATCCAAATACCCCGATCACAAAATACATGGGATACATGTGTGATCAAACTCAGTTTTGTGTGTGAAAATTCTGTGAAAGAAAAGGAAATCCACAATTAAAGTTGTCTTGGAATATGAGTATCGGAGTTTTCGTTTATCGTAAGTATCGAGATAGGCCTAATGGAGCTCAAAACATCAAGTATATTTCGTTACGTATTTATTAGTTGCTTATGTGCATCCGATTCGTTATTTTGACACACGTGACATATTCAATATATTGCAGTCAAATTGCTTCAAATTAGGCCCCTACCTGAACACTTTTGAAAAATCTGTGTAATCTGTTTTATAAATATAATTTGATTATTGTGTGGTATCTGTTGAATCCAAATGACCAAAACTAAACAAATATCTGTACTTTTCAGACTGAACTGAAAGAATCATGTCAGTTTCATATTTATGTATCGTTACTGTTACATTAACCGAAACTGTTGTTCTGCTGCTGTTCTGCCGTAAAATATACAAAAGAATACACCTTGACCACAAATGCATTGAATGCGTCACATGTTCACATGAACATGTGCTTTTCTATTTATAGGACAACCGTAAATAAGCTCCGCCCAATGCGATTAATGCAAACACGATCGATTCGATTTTTTTATGATAAAACTACAGAAGATTTATTGACTTTTATCTAGATATGGAGCCATTTGTGGCATCCAGGGTTTGTTATTTAAGTTGATACGAAGTTTTACGGCCAATGGTGATCTTGTTTGCGTACGTTTTTCAAAAAGTTTCTCCCAACACTCGCTTGTGTTTACATTGTCAGTCATTGTTCGAAACTAAACACCGCCACCTTATAGTCAGGGTGGGGCTTTAACAATAGCCATACTCAAAACCAATAGGTTGTGGTCTGTATATAAGGCAATTCATCTGATACGGGCTTTCAAAGCCGACACGTTTAACGTCCAATCAAGCAGTTTGAGGTACGTTACTGTTGTGATATGTATACTTTGAGGATGCTCTTTTCTGTATAATAACACATGTAGCTGAACGATGCAGCTGAAAGATGCTGCCTTATCCTATGATAGAACTTTGTTTCTACTCCTTATCCTCAGGTATTGCCTCATCAACCATTTGTCCTTGTTTTTATACCCGCATGCAGCAACATAGACGTTAGCCTTTGCTCGGCCGGACCAGGGACCATGCGTCCTGATTGGCATATTTTATTCGCGATTAGTCTTGATGAGCTGGAAACAAACGAATAATTCCCTAATAACTCGAAAATATTATTTCTCATCTTAAAATATATGCAAGAGCTGTCTTTTATACTTTGGGAATGTATCTTTCAACCTCCAATAGAATGTTATTAAACAAAAGGGTTATTTTGTAGTTTAATGTAAGAGAACGTACAGGATCAGTCGATAATTCCACGATTCCGACTTTATAATCAGTTTGTGTTTATGAATCACTATCAAATAGTGATGATACCAGGTGCTCGAGAAAAGGTTAGCGTAACCTGCCCCACCCGTCATGAACAAGGCAAGTCAATTGTTAACCTAAAAAAACGGAAATACAACGTACTCGTAAGTCAAAATGAAGTCATCGGATATCATTTTTGTCACTGATGCCCCAAATTTAGAAATGTCCTCTTCCCGTCTACTCTATTTAAGCCTTAAGTGTGGAAACCGTGATAAAACAACAATTACCAAGATTCGTATGGCGCTCTTCATAGAAAGGGCACGCTCGATTGTACCTTAAAAGAAGTGAAAGGTAGACATGAAAGGTTGGAGCTACTGGAATATAGCTCGCCATAAAGTTGACTAGTAGGAAGTTGAAGTCACCCCTCTTGTCATACAGTCTAGTGGAGAGTGTTTTACAACGAATAAACTAACGGATCTCTCAACATAGATGACAATGATATGCGTAAAACCTATATTTTGCTTTATTTACGGTTTATATTTTGCTTTATTTACGGTATATTTGGCTTTATTTTCGGTTTATATTTTGCTTTATTTACGGTTTATACTTTGCTTTATTTACGGTATATTTTGCTTTATTTAAGGTATATTTTGCTTTATTTACGGTATATTTTGCTTTATTTTCGGTTTATATTTTGCTTTATTTACGGTTTATATTTTGCTTTATTTACGGTTTATATTTTGCTTTATTTTCGGTTTATATTTTGCTTTATTTTCGGTTGCACAGAAGTACAGATTTCAGAGCACAGCTTTCGTTTTCATTTCGCTTGATTTCGTCTGAACCATAATTTTATTAAAGTTACAAACATTTATTCTGAAATGTACAAGTAATTCAGGGATGTATGTATTGCAACAGATTGTGAAATAAATGTGGTGTAGTAGCAATTTCATAACACGTCCTACGCGAAACATGATTATGTAATCACTATCGGAAATGACATCAACTTTGTGTTTGTAAGATGCTGAACGATTCTATGGTTATTGGCGGCGTTTCAGAAACATTATTGATGATTTCATATTTCACGAATACCCGTGATCAATAATATGATATTTTTGTAATTAAACCCTCCGAGTTGATATCGGATATATATATTTATAAACAGACCCGAAATAACGCCTTGAATGATGATTTATTGAAGTGTCAAAACTAGCGACATTTCCGATGTGCCTTTGGCTTTGCTTAGAATTCACAGAACAGTAAATTTCCCGCAAAATTCAAAACTGTGAATAGTTTTCATGTGTTTGATGTAGCTTTAGTGAGAGTTGATGACCAAACAACATATATTTGATTGTGGCAGAAGGTTAAATGCACCCCACAACAAATGCATTCATTGTACAGACACGGTATACTGACCCCAAGCCGACCAGTCCTTGTTTTAGCCCCTTAATGCCGAGCGTTAGACAGGGTGACAACAAGGTCCATCTTTTATGACGCGGCCGGGATTCAAATCCCGGATATTCACCAAGAGGACGCTCTACCACTAGACCACAGAGGCGGTCCCAGAGAATATAAAATATGAAGGTTTTGTTGGGCTATGTACATTCTTATTTCCATTGCGGTTCTATTTGATTTTACATATTTTATGTAAATATTTCCTCATAATGCCATTTGCCAAGGGTGGTACAGCCACTACCTTTGGTTTGCTCCAGACAGTCAGATGCAACACCGTAATATAACTTAACTTGCTTCCAGAAACATTCCAAGGAATGTCAACATCAATTTAGTGCCTTGTGCTATAACCGTCGATTCTTTTCACCTTGCAGCATGTCTTCCATGGAGCCATTTCGTATCAAACTGGTGGAACCTTTACCGAAAATAACCAAAGGCGAAAGAAGAAGGACAATAAAAGACAACAATTTCAACCCATTCAGATTGAAAGATGACGACATTTGTTTTGATCTGTGGACAGATGCTGGAACCTCCTCTATGAGTATTCATCAGTGGGCCAGCATGCTGGGGACACACGAAGGTTCTTTTAACCCCACCAGTTTTGATACATTTATTCAGAACGTGGCATCTCTAACAGGCTTCCCTCATGCACAGATACATCCTGTTCACCAAAGAAGTGCCTCGGAACACACACTGTTCTCGATTCTTGCTCAGCAAAAGTTAGCAATCTTTAGCAACAGCTTGCATTCAGCTGCTTCTAAAATCGCCAGAATGGTAGGAGCGTCAGTAACAAATCTTCCATGCACATTTATCAATAACGGTAGTTTTAATGGTGACCTTGACTGTGATAAATTGGATAAAGAATTCACCAGAATTCCTACAAATGCCGTCGTTATCTTGACTGTGACCAGTGATGGTCAATCAGGTCAGCCTGTATCCATGACCAACATAAAAAATGTCTCTCAAATTTGCAAGAAATGGGATGTCCCTCTGTTTATGGATGGGTGTCGTTTTGCCGAAAATGCCTATTTCATCAAATTAAGAGATGAGAGGTATGTGGATAGTTCAGCCAGAGACATAGCCAAAGAGATGTTTTCCTACTGTGACGGCCTGTATCTGGCTGCACACATGGATATCCTTTGCAACGTTGGGGGATTCTTTGCCTGTAGACGTAAGGACCTGTTTCTCAATTTTATAGATACATACAAGAAGATCGGGAGCACGAGAAAACATGGTGGAACGGCAGCAAGGGATCTTGTAGCTGTTACAGTTGGCCTGACAGAAGGGCTCGAAGACCGCTTCTTGAAGTACAGAATTGAAAGTTTGTCCACGTTTGGAGACATCTTGAAGAAGGCCGGCGTCCCATTAGTTGAGCCAGTAGGAAGTGCCATCTACATCAACGCTGCCAAATGTTTACCCCACATTCCCACAGAGCAGTATCCAGCTTGGGCCCTGCACTGTGCCCTGTATGTAGAAGGTGGCATACGATGTAAACATGTTGGAGAGTTGCAGGATGTCGAGAACAATACTCAAGACAATCCCCATCACTTCTTACAAATCTGTCTACCGAGGCGATGTTACACCTTTTCTCACATGCTGTATATCGGTGAGGTTTTTAAGTGTGTATTGGCCCAAAAGGAAAACATATTAGGGTTATGCTTGATGCAGAAAGCCACAAATCCTGAGTCTATATCATTCGACACAGTTGGTTCATGCTCAGTGAAAAGAGGTACTCTTGAACAGTAGGTCTTTGTGAGAATCAGTCGAACGGGAACTCGCGGCCTTCAGCTTGTTAGTCCGACAGCTAACCGACAGAGCTAAATCCACATTGTCAAACATATTTGAAAATTATCTAGTCATACCTAAGACGTTACGGAAGTGAAAGGAAAGGGTGGGATAGGTGAGGGACACTAACGAAGGTTACGGATAGGCATGGTGTCTCGTGACCTTAGCCTACGGATGAGTCATCCTGATGCCATTTGGCACACTCGTCTCATACCGTAATCTACAAGATTACCGAGTGGTGAGGAATGAGCCGATATGGCGCGAACTGAAATGAATGACATGGGTTTGAATAATTCGTCGGGCGATTTTGTGACAGAAAGGTGTGAGAGGGAACATAGTAAGGATAATGTGGATCACAGTAAGGAGTGAGTGAGTGAGTACTGTTTTACGCCGCTTTTAGCAATATTCCAGCAATATCACGGCGGGGGATCACAGTGAGGAACGAGGAAGGCATATGCCCCTATTCCACTAAGCGGCGCTCTGTGGCGCTCTTACAAATCGCCATAGATCGCCATATGGAGCGCGAAGATCTCCAAAAGCGTTACTGTATCGCTATCTGATCTCTAAATGATCTCCATGATCGTCAAGATCTCCGCCTGTCGACTGCCCTGCACAAAGATCCGTGGCGCTCTGCCAGAATGCCGTCAGATCACTACTTGATCGCCGAGATCGCCATCGGAGCGCTACTTGATCGCCAAGGTCATAATTAGAGCGCTATCGTATCACCTTAGAGCGCCGCCGATCGCCACGAAAGACAAGGACCTACCCCTCTGCTACCAAGCGTAGATCTGATGATCGACTTAGAACGCTACGGGTTTTTTAAAGGATCGGACCCAAAATTCGGCGATCGGGTCGCAATAGGACTCAATAGGTCGCCTAGATCGCAATGATCGCCATCAGAGCACAAATAGAGCGCCATTGGATCGCATCCTGATCGCCTTGGATCGCAAAAGGAGCGGGAACTGATCGTGCAAGATCGCCATATTTTGTGTAAAGACGAGCAAGGGTCTTCAAGTCACTATCGGATCGCATAGATCGCTATTGGATCGCAACAGGAGCACTATCTGATCGTAATCAGATCGTTAATGCCCCCAGATATAAATGAAAAATGAGGAGACCTATGGCGCTCCCACAGAGAGCAGAAGAGCATCTCCTAGTGGAATGGGGGTAGCATTGCTAGTGACGATCCGACGGCTTATAGAATCATTACTGAACAATTGTAGCGGATGGAAGTGGCTTGTGTGAATGTTCCAGCACAGTTTCCAGTAGCCAAAATATTCTACACTAAACCCTTTCATCCTGCTTTCTCGACGTTTTGTGTTAAGAATATTCCGCTAAAGAAACTAGTATCCACGAAGCGGGTACCTAGGCCTCAGGATAGACTATCAGTGAAGCCAGTGCCACTCACACGAAAACCGGAGCCTACAAATCTAATTGATTTCTTGCAAAATATGTCCCTCCAGAGACATTTGGATGTATGCAGCCTAATAAACTGCATTCCTGGGTATAATAATGAACAGTAATTGCTCAAAAAATGTTATATGTATAATCGTTCCCATTTATAATCTGATTCATTTTAGCACCATGAATTATGTTGAAACCAAAATATAAAATATGTTTAAAATAAAAGTGCTTTCATAAACTAGCACTTACTATAAAATGCGCCGCTGCAGGCTGTATTTAGCAAACATATATTCAAAACTCTCGACACCGCTGAGCTTATTCAATGACATTGTGTGCAGAGATGGATCACTGAGAGGCGTTCGCCTTCTCAGACACCAGGACATTGTTTCGTCGGTGCAACCTTGCACACGTCCCATGGTATTATGCCATGTTTGTAAAGTTTGTTGTGCTGTATTTAATAATCTCAGAAAAAATTCAGTTTCGATTAATGCCCCTGACATTTCAATGTTCGTTTACCTATACGATCACCATTTCATCAAGTTTGTTCAATTATATGAACGTGACTTGGACGCTCATAAGACTATATGACAAGAAGGATCACTTTAACGTTACGCCACCACACCTCCGGACTAAGGCCTTGAAAGAATTAACCATGATGCATACTCGATTGTACCTCCAATATAGAGAATGTAGACACAAACTGCCAGAGCTGCAGGAATAGTGCTCGACATAAAGGTGAAGTTGAAGGAACGTGAAAGTAATCCATCTTGTCATACAGTGGATAGTTTCTTGTCATTCTGAATCTGTATGCAATATGTATATGTATATAAATATTAAACAGATGAGGCAGCTTCTCGAAGCCTGTTTCTACTATTTCAAGCCAGGGGATAACACACATAAAAGCTTATACATGTACCTACACGTATTAATCATTTCATACTCCTGCTTCAATATGGCATTAGGATTTAAGATATTTGGTGTAGGGTGGTATTATTTAAACCTCAATTCACGCATGTTTCTCATTTTTGTGGTGGACTATTCGAATTAGGAATCATTATTCAGATTTTGGGGTTTAATGTGTAACCAGTTGTGTTCGTTCTTTGCTGAATGAAACATGTCATAACTGTTACATAATATTATTATTTTAATAAAGATTCAGTAGCTATGGCTTGTGTTTTCTTGAAGTGTCGAAATCTATTTTCTCTGTGGCCTCACAGCCGCGAAAGCGTGACCAGGTAGGATGTATCCACATTTTTTCTAATTGCAAACAACTTGCAACTGGTTGATATTTATCCGATAACCATAGCGATATTGTTTCAATGACGAAGGTCACAGGGCTGAGTCAAGCACACATGGTGACCACAGACACGTCTGATGGCACCGAATGTTCATGGTACTAGAGACTGACGTGGACGTCGTAATGCAGCATAAAATGGTTCATATCCTGAGCTACAGCTTTAAAAAAATAATCTTTCACAATCCTTCACTGAACACCGCCACCAGTCAACCATCCTAACTACCTGATCAATTAGAATGTAACTCTCTTCATTGTGATCGTACAACCAATTTCAGTCACCTTACTTGTTGCTTCAAATGAATGGGTTTCTTCTTGGAAGATTTGACATAATCACTGTTTTGGTTGAGCGAAGCTCAGCAGGACAAGAGCTGGGAGGTGTTGATTGAAGATGTTGTTTATTAGTCCACTTCGCCACAAGCTGATACTGGAGCTTATGTTGTTAATTTGTCCACCTCGTTACACGCTGATGCTCGAGCTTATGTTGTTTATCTGTCCACCTCGTCACATGCTGATACTGGAGCTTATGTTGTTTATTTGTCCACCTCGTCACATGCTGATACTGGAGCTTATGTTGTTTATTTGTCCACCTCGTCACATGCTGATACTAGAGCTTATGTTGTTTATTTGTCCAACTCGTCACATGCTGATACTGGAGCTTATGTTGTTTATTTGTCCACCTCGTCACATGCTGATACTAGAGCTTATGTTGTTTATTTGTCCAACTCGTCACATGCTGATACTGGAGCTTATGTTGTTTATTTGTCCACCTCGTCACATGCTGATACTAGAGCTTATGTTGTTTATTAGTCCACTTCGCCACATGCTGATACTGGAGCTTATGTTGTTAATTTGTCCACCTCGTCACACGCTGATGCTCGAGCTTATGTTGTTTATCTGTCCACCTCGTCACATGCTGATACTGGAGCTTATGTTGTTTATTTGTCCAACTCGTCACATGCTGATACTAGAGCTTATGTTGTTTATTTAAAACCTCATCAGATCCTGATGCTCGAGCTTATGTTGTTTATTTGTCCAACTCGTCAGATGCTGATACTGGAGCTTATGTTGTTTATTTGTCCATCTCGTCACATGCGGACATTGGAACTTATGTTGTTTATTTGAAACATCGTCACATGCTGATATTGGATCTTATGTTGTTAATTTGTCCACCTCGTCAGATACGGATAATGGAGCTTATGTTGTTTATTTGTCCACCTCGTCACATGCTGATACTGGAGCTTATGTTGTTAATTTGTCCACCTCGTCAGATACTGATAATGGAGCTTATGTTGTTTATTTGTCCACCTCGTCACATGCTGACACTGGAGCTTATGTTGTTTATGTGTCCACCTTGTCAAAGTGTGACACTGGAGCTTATGTTGTTTATTTGTCCACCTCGTCACATGCTGACACTGGAGCTTATGTTGTTTATTTGTCCAACTCGTCACATGCTGATGCTCGAGCTTATGTTGTTTATCTGTCCACCTCGTCACATGCTGACACTGGAGATTATGTTGTTTATTTGTCCACCTCGTCACATACTGACACTGGAGCTTATGTTGTTTATTTGTCCACCTCGTCACATGCTGATACTGGAGCTTATGTTGTTTATCTGTCCACCTCGTTACATGCTGACACTGTAACTTATGTTGTTTATTTGTCCACCTCGTCAGATACTGATACTGGAGCTCATGTTGTTTATTTCTCTTTCATGTCCCTCCTTCTGACCAATCAGATTCTACCTCTCATATCACTTGCATTTGTTTCAAACAAAATGGCGTCGCCCAGTGAAGGCGATCCGATCGATAATCAAGATATATATTGTGATGAAACGGGCCTCACTTCGCGAAGTGCATAAAATCTTCGTGAGCACCTTGATTAAAAACATGAAAAGATGTTCAATATATCTGACGCGCCAAGTAGACAGTACATATGCTTGGCAAATCCTGCAGTCGACCAAGATGTGCACGGCAGTTTACGAACCTGCTGTTGAATTCGTTACACTTTTCTGATTGGACCACTGCAAAAAAAATCCATCTTATACAAGCTTGTATATGCTTTGGAATGATGATATTTCCAAAGGATATACAAGATTGAAATAATGATATATACAAAAATATACAATTTTGTATATATGACATATACAAAAATATACAATTTTGTATATATAATGTATCCAAATTTGTTTTCTTTGTATATTTTGGTAAAGGGAGATAATTGTTATTATTTGTGTATGATTATTATATATGTGCAAAATGGAGTGTTTTAACTTGAGCACTGTGTTTCTTTGTGTATGTTGATTAAGGGGGATAATTGCTATGTATTGTTCTATAATTGTTTTGTATGTGTAAAATAGTGTTAGCAAGTTCCAAAAAACTGATATAGTGGCGTGTAACATTACTGGAATGTTTAATTAGTACTCCACACTGTTAGCGGGAGTACATACTCTCCTTGCAATGATATTGACGGGTAAGCGATTGAGGCGTCTGGTACTTTTCCTGGCGCGGTGCTTGGTATGTGAGTAGACGTTATGGTCAAATGCACAGTGAGGATTAGCTGTCGGGGGTGATTGCATTGGCGGTGACTTCTGTATTGAAAGTGTTGAAATCGATTTGTGCTGAGCTTGGATTCGTTTGTACGTGGAGGCCGCGATGTGATTTGTAACATGCTCTCGTGCACATAGAAGATTAGCCAACAGAGTGGATTACACAGAGGATAAAACCTATTTTATCATTACTTAAAAGTTTGAATTTTGTTTGTTCTGAGCTGTCGGTTTAATTGTAGGGTAAAGATTGTTATAATGTCAAATCTCGGCGGAGCACGGAAAATCGCGTTTTTTTAAAGCAGTCCTTGGAAAAATCCTCTTCAAAATATAATCAAAGATTTTTTTTAAATACTCCGAAAATATCGTGTTGCAGGACAACCGTGGCGGATTGTCCTGTTTTCGATCAGAGTCTTCAGCATCAAACATGCCTTTATTATTATTCATAACACAATCATGGGATCTTA